AACTAAATACTTAATGACATTATATAAGCCGTTAGGTATTATGGTTGGCAAGTACTTTTACTTTTAATACTTAAGTAGTTTTAAAAGCTTGTACTTTCTTACTTTTACTTAAGTAAAATAATAATGTGGTACTTTGACTTTTACTTGAGTACATTTTTGTCTTTGTATTTGTACTTTTACTTAAGTACATTGTATGAGTACTTTCTCCACCACTGTCATTTTCTAACTACAGTATTTCAGCTTTCTTTCAGCTACAAAAACTTTTCAACAGGTTTACAGGCATTCAGCTATTAACAAATTACTTTTCTCATCAGAACCTGTATAGTTTTTTTTTTAGAATATCACATTTTCAAAGTCATCTACATTTTTGTTCCTTCTACGTTTCACAATAATTGTGTTTGGGATTAGGTTAGAGTGGGACATCAAAGGAGTCATGTGACTCATTTGACTGATTTGGGGAAATCTTAATTCCTTAATTTACTTCCACATCCCTCAACGTTGATATACTAATTACCATAATAAATACCCTAAAATTAGGCAAATTTTTCATCTTTCAGCTAATTTTATTATCAAAGCACCTCATTGACCCTCAGAGTCCAAGAAATTCCCCATGTTATATATAGGAGTGAAAAATGGAGGACACCATAAAGTGGCCTTTTTGAAGATTAACTTTCGGTGGCACATTTCTGGATGTATTTACAAATTATAACCATCAATGTGTTCCTGAATCCACCCTGTGGATTTGAGACTTTTTCAAGTATGACTTTTTTGAACAGGGACCATGGGTCCAGAGTGAATTTTTCATGCAAACTTACAGTCACTCTGTCTATGGAGAAAAGCTGCTGAGAACACTGCTCAGTTTAAATAGGAGGATCCTTTAAACTGAGCATAGTGTGGTGAAAACGAGGAAGGGCAATACTAAGCCAGGGGAAACCTGGAGGAAAGCTGTAGTTGTGTGGAAACCATGGAAAATGCTTAGAAATTACAAGGAGCAAGGCACCAGAGAGATTTGCAGTTTCTCAATTCAAAGCACCCTTAGAAAGTTCTTTTGTACTTACTAGTATGGACTTGTCATAAGAACTAACCTCTGAGGACGGAAGGAAGCAAATGGTGTCACTGTGCATTTGCAATGGAAACATACTTCATTGCGTCAGAGATGTTAACATTGCTGAAAAAACAAAAACAACCTTTGAGGAAAAAACTTTAAAATGGGCGGAGCAAGTTCACGTTCGTGAATGTGGAGCGCAATTGTCTTGATGCATTGTTTTAATTGGAACAGCCCTTTGTCCTTATATGATGGTGTTCCAGGAGTACAAAAGATCTTAAGTACAGACAAGTACGCTCACTGAGAAATGGACATAATGTACAGAGGAAGGTGATAATTGAATGAAGCATCTGAGACAAAAAGGAAACTAAGAACATAGTAAAGAATACTAAACTAAGACACTAGAAATTCATTGTAAATAGGAAAACACCACCCGTGGCCAAGTCCAATAAAACAACTCCAATTTTGTATTCTGATAAAAAATATTATCAATACATTTTGGGAAAGTGTAGCAAATTATCAGCTGTTAAATATTCAAGTACCAAAGCTGTACGAAAGTAAATAAGCAACTATTAACAATGTTTATGATATGACAGGAACAAGCTCACAGAACTTAAAACATGCATTAAAGAATTATTTACTATATTCTATATTGTAAATTCTGTTATTTTGGGGCAAGCATTCTCCATCTAACACCACCATCTCAGTTGCTTGAGAACACGTGATATTTTTCCCTTTGGGGCTAATGTAACTTTTGAAGACTTTGAAGAACTGAGATTTGAATTCTATAGCAAAGAAAAATGTTGGTGGGTGGGCATATGTTCTCATCTGTTGGCCTGTTTTGGCCCTTGTAATAATCTTGTTTGGATCTCTTAACTGACAGGAGAGAAGACCACATCTTTATGGATTTTGGGTGTTAAATGTAGTCTAGCGTCCCCTCAGTGCACCACACAACTAATTTCTCACTTTGGTTTGAAGGGCTCATCTTTCTCTCATGGCACTCAAATGTCGGGTGGCCCTCAGCCATCCCAGCTTTCTGTCGGGTGTCACTGCAAGTCACCATCAAGTAGTGGTGTAAAAGAAAATCACTCAGTTTTACATGCAACATTTGCCTTTAATCGGGGAGAAATTGTGCGCATAGCTGTTCATGTGTAATTAGCACTGTAAGTCTCCTAATTAGCTCTATGTGCTGTCAGTGGTTGTAGCAGCATCTGGATGTGAGAAGTGGATTTGGAATGTTGTGGTTGGATATGGTGGTGAGTGGGGCATACAGCAGATGGTTGAGTCCTGTCCTGCAGGCAAACAGTTGTCGAATGGAGAGGCTAAGGCTATGTTAGACATTCCACTGCCAGGAGCCTACAACCCCCCTCCAACCCCCGTACCCTCACCCTACTCTCCGCCTCCACAGCAGCTAGGGAAGGCTTGTCACATTGCATGTACAAGCATCCAGAATTCTGAGGGGTAAGATATGCTGGGAACAAACAATCGCTGCTTGGATGTGCAACCTTAATGTTTGTTTCTCTCCCCTAGTTATTAGTCCCTTTTGGTCAAATTCTGTCACAGATCTGCACTGCTTACGTTTGAGTTTTGGTTTCAAGTTGACATACTCCTCTGTGGCTCTATCATTAGGTCGTGTTTGGATGGAGTCTGCATATGCCACAAGATTACTTTATCAGCTTTTATATCACTGAATATTCTTTGCAGTCAGATCTTTTTAGTATGTCAAGAATGTATGGACAAAATGTTTTAATGAGACAACTGGGTACTGTACTGGGACATAGGCCAGATTAAAAATACAATTCAACAAGAGCAAGATTTGAATATCCTTTTTTTTCGGGGCACATCTTAAATGTGCGGATGCGAACAAGAATCATTTCCATAGTTTTATAGTTAGAATTATTCCTAAAGAATCTTGACTAACCACTAGATATTTGTTCTGACACAAAGAGCAAAAACATTTTCAGAGACAATCTCCTCCTCCAGAAGTTGACTTCGATTTCACCAGAAAAGCTATCATTGAGGGGGCTGGGTAGAAAGTGAAGGGGAGTGGGAACTTCAGGGAGTGTTAACGGCAGCTGCGGCAAGAGCGAGAATTAACAAGATGTAGCTGTGCCGAAAGGTGACAAAAGAAAAACACACAAATATTGTAGGGCAAAAGCAGCACAGGGCAAGGTGTTTACTTTGTCAGATTTTATTGCTGTTGAAGGATTTTCTTACTTACACTTCTTGTTTTTCTCTCTACAAACATTTAAGCTTTGTATAGTGGGAGTGTGCACACAAATGTACATCCAAAAAAACAAACATATAACTAATTAAGCAATAATTAAACTGATTGACAATAAAAATGGTTGCTGGAGGAATGAAGACAGAATTTTTTTTATTTTTTCAAACTAAAACTTATCACTGAATGTAATAATAAACCTCCTGAAATTAATATAATTAGCCACTGTTTCATATCCAAAGAAGGCATTGCTTAGTACTAGGACTAAAACAGATCGGCATAGTTAATGAGAATATTTACAGCTAGTGACATGTTAGTTAGTGACATATCATCATGCTGTTATTTACCCTCTTATTTGGATTTCATCTTAAATTAGCTTTGTTGCTGAGAACACGGATGCAAATTTGAGTGATCTTCACAAATGTATTTTTCTTTATATTCTTTATTTTCTTGACAAAGCTTCAACCTGAATTTGTGGATGTCACTGTAAACAATTCGAAAAGTGTTCCTGAACTGATGTAATGATTTCCAAGACATAACTACATATTTTAAATTTGGTTGTGCAGACTTGTTTGTACAACAAGAGGAGAAAACTGTCTAGACTATGTGTACAGTAATGTAACATCAAGCATGATTACAGAACCACGACCCTCCTCCACCTCAGTCAGTCAGCCCATCTCTCCCTGCCCCTGCCCCTGCACCCCCCTCAGGTGCTGACCAATGCCCATCATAAAAATTATAGTAACATGGCCTGAAAATGTGCACTGTGAACTACACGACTACCTCCAAAACAAAGACTGGGACCTAGTGCTGGACCACATCACAATCTCCTGGAGAATTGTGTTTGTGGACAAAGTCACCCAGAGCTTTCCAAACCAGAAACACGGGATGGTCAGCCAGGTATGCTTCTTCAAGACCCCTTGGACACTTCCTCCAGCTCAGGTAACAGAGCTCTTTAAGACATAACTCAAGCTGAACTGAAAAAGGAATAAAAAAAAGACTATAGGGACAAGACAGAGTCGCATCTCACCAGCAATTGACCCCGGGGAACTATGGCAAAGTCTATAATCCCCCAAAGTTGTGGTATGACACCAGGAGACCTGAGCAAATTACTGGCCGAGGACATTAACTGCTTCTTTCAATTAAATTAAATTCAATTTTATTTATATAGCGCCACATCGCTACAACAGTTGTCTCACAGCGCTTTCCAAACAGAGCAGGTCAGACCCTACTCTGAAGTTAATTACAGAAACCCAACAATTCCAACCATGAGCAAGCACTAGGCGACACAGGCAAGGAAAAACTTCCTTTTAACAGGCAGAAACCTTCTTTGATTCTTTTGAAACACGGCAGCGAGACTCACCTGCTCCAGCCCAGCCACAAACCCCAAAAGGTTCTATCCCCCCCCGGACTCACTGAAAAAGAGCTTTGTATGTACGCCAGTGAGCCCCAGAAAGAATGCTGACCCAGATTGGGTACCTGGCAAGGTGCTGACACCATGTGCCCACCAGCTGTCCGACAACTTGACCGCATTTTTAATTTCCCCCTGGCCCAAACAGCCATATCCATCAGCCTGAAATCCTCCACCATCATCCCAGTATTTAAGAAAGTCACTCACAACCAGCCTCAATGACTTCTACCCAGTTACCCTTACACCTTTCATTATGAAATGCTTTCAGACACTGGTTCTTGACACATCAAAGACTGTCCCCCAACAACATAGCATTGCATGCTATGCTGAGCCACCTGGAACAACAAAGCTGTTCTAGGTTGCTCTTTGTGGATTGCATTTTAGCATTCAACACAATAATCCCGGATATTCTGATCCCCAAAATGAACATGCTGGTAAGTTTCCTCTGATATGTACACAGATCAAAGACTTTCTGTCCAACAGACCCCAGACTGTGAGAATTGGTCCCCACTTTTCCACCTGGATACTGAGCACAGGAGTTAATTTAGGAATTTACTGTATGTAACAATAACGATGTGGATATTATTTTTGCAGCATGTCGCTTTGCTAAAGTTATGAATGTTCCAAAAAACAAAACAAAAAAGTCAGGAATTAGCAATATGACTATCAAGTGCCCTATATATCCTTGACATTGTTTAATTTAATTAAAACAAGTGATTGAAAATGGTACAGTTTCAATTAAAGATCTCTAATTGAAAAAGGTCATTTAAAAAACTAAATGTTCAATTCAAAATTCAATTACCTCCTGGAGAAGAGTAACATAATGTAATTCGTCATAATGGACTATGATATGTAATAAGTTGGCCAATTAGCTATTTTCTATTTGATTTAAATAGATTTTATGAGCTTTGTTCTCAATATCAATTACATGAAAAGCTTTGTGAAGACCATATTCATAATGGCAAAAATTGCAGAGGAGGGAAGAAATCTGAACTAATTAATGTATCCCTAACTGGTTTTCCGTTAATGCAAATCACACATGTAGGTCAAGAATCTTTGTTTGCTTTTGTTGAACATACAGATTTATCGAGGAATATTATTCTGTTCAAATTCAAACCAGCTTTTATTAAAAAACAGAAACACATCAACTGTGGATTAAGGTTTTTTTGTAAACACTGTAAATCCTCACTCTTTCTGACTGATTTTTATCTTTTGACACACATCAATCAATCAAACAGATGACGTTAGCTGTTTTATCTTGCTGATGGTGTGTCCTGGTAAGTAAATATTCAGCACTTTGAAAATAGAGCTTTGCTTTTTATTCACAGAGAAGAAATTTATATGCTGGCACAATTTATTTTTGTTCCCTCCTCATAACATTCATGATGGCAGGCCAAAAGAGGAAAAGTTATACTAAAGGCATTCTTTACAGGGCTTTTTTCAGGAGAACATTATTAATTGATATCGAGATATTGGATAAAAATGCCATTTCTCATTTTCTTAGTCTATGCTGAAATATATTGTCGTTCAAATATTTTTATTACATATATGTTTATGATCTAAATGTCAACAGTTTTTTCTTTAATTCCCTCACTTCAAATGCTATTACATTCAATCAATAATCAATATTACACTAAGATCTATAAGATATACTATTAGGCAGTGAAGTATTTTTTTCTTTTTCAGTTTAGCAGTTTATGCATGGATGAAGCTTCTTCATTTCAGAGCCAAAAGATGGCAGCTTCAATGACACTCCAGCAGGGGACAATGTTAACCAGGGAGGGAGGAGAGGTAGACATTAATTGAATTTGCTTCACATTCAAGAGCAGTCACACAAGAATATGTACAAAAAGTAAAGCGGGACCCTGAATATTCAATTCAACTTTCAATATGATGATCATAATTATCAGTCTATCATTAGCACTGAAGAATGTTTTAGCCTCTTTGGGTGTACTGAAATTGTCCCCTGGATACCATAGAAGAGCAGACAGGCAAAGGATTTCGGATAAATTATATGCTGGTGAAAGAAGCTGATGGAAACAAGTTATCTAGTGATCTAGTGACCCCCCCCCCCCACATCCTCTGTAGTTGGCTCTATTTGTTCTATGTACAGTAGTAAACATTGATTCTGCTCTGAAGTATTCTAATTTATATAGATTTCTATTGCACGTAACTTTAAAGTTAATCATTTGATTTTCATCTTGGCAATCCATGGACATTTAGAATGCTTTACAACTGATTACATTAACTGTTAATTACAATTACTTGGCTTGTTGGATATATCCAAATTTTCTTATCCAACTGTGTAAAATGCCACTTAATATCAACAACTACAAAAACAAATACAACAATAATAATAACAATAATAATAATAAGAATAATAATAATAATAATAACGATGATGATAATTCACAATTGTTTCAGTATGGTAAATGATTTATAAGCCATATATATATATATATATAGTGTGGCCCTGGGGGTGACATGTACCCTGCCTCTTGCCAGTCCCAGCATCTCACCAGTCCCCCCACGACCCCATTAGGGAATAAGCAGTTACGAAAATGTGTGTGTGTGTGTGTGTGAGTGCGTATGTGTATTGAGTTATTTTGTGGAGGGGCATGACGCTTTTGTGCGAAGCTTATGCCTGCATGCATATTTATACACAACACGTATTTGATACGTGTGTGTACGTATGTAAGTGTATGAGTGATGGATTTTGGGTTGTCGTTGGCTGAGGCTTTTTAGTCCACCCATAACATCCAACTATGATTGATGTGTTCCTGTTGCTGACCATGCAGAGGCCAGAGCACAGGGATCCACTGAGGCTGATGTTTCTTTGTGACAACATCCCACCTTGGTCAGAGCAAGGGCTCTTCTATTATACACATCCAAATAACAAATAGTTGGTGTACAGGTGCTCCTCAACCTTTCCTATAATTCTTCCGATTTGCTTCTTTGGTCTTGTACAAGATCATTTTCAATTGTGAAAATGAAAATAACATTCCAGTTTTCTATGGATGGTTAAAACCAGCCTTGTTTTTGGCTTTCTAGCTTGCTAAAAATTCAAAACGTAATTTATTTTAAATGTATTGTGTCTAATATAACCAAACTCTTAAAAGGGTTTACCAAAAATAAGATGTATTCCTTTTCTAAAAATTATTATTAATTATATGTATTTCTTAGGTCTTTGGACGGTCAAGGAAACAGGGAAAAATAATCTGTTACTTTAAAGCCAGCTTCTTTAACAGTCTGAATGTCCTACAGGAATTTAGAAATGATGTATATATATATATGTATATTCCATGATAATGTACAAAATTCTGAATGGATTTCTTGAGATATTTGAATTTTTTGTCTCTGTGTACACCATTTTCGTATTATATATGTTATACATCTCGATTTAATTTCCTGCTGTCGCTGCAAAATGTTGAATTTTTTAATCCATAATTTGTATTGTAGTCATTAATTGATACTTTTTTTTAACAATCAATCAATTAATATGAATGTGCCTTAAATACGTAAAAGCAGTTGAAGTTCATGGGATGATGTGCAATTCTATTTCACTGTGTGTAACACAATAAGGAATTTTGTAGTCTAATGGTTAAACAAGGGGGTTTCAGCAGTATTTTATTCACTGATTAAAATCCTGCTGTTTGTTGACAGCCGTAGCCAACGGCCTTCCATGTTTAAGCTTTGTTCTTCCAGATATTCTGCATTGTAACAATGTAGAAAACATTCAGAGGATTACCGGGAATAATGAAAGCAACAACCTGGGCTTTCAATGAGTCTATCTAATGCAAAGATGGGGAGATTGATCTCCCGTAATGCTTTGTCTTGATGAGACAATGAAAAACGGCCTCAGCCAATATCTGAGCTAGAGATGTACCATTTGTCCAAGGTTCTTATTTGATACGATTTTCAAGCTCTTGTTAAATTTTCAGTACCTTTCTGTCAACTTAACATTGCAATATTTCCCCTGTCCTTCACTTTTCCTGCTTGGCTTAATTTATTTCAAAACACCATTTCACACACTGCTGACTTTAACAAGGCATTATACAGCACAGAAGGAAGGTAAGGGAGATAGAATTGTGACAGACACATTATTTCCATAGTGGGATTACAGAATTTTGTAGACCGTAAGTATATAAATGTGGCAGAGTTTGAAGAGAAAAACTAGTCGTGTTTGCACAGATGACATTCTGTCTTCTTTTTCCTGTGGAAACTATGTCAGCTGTCAAATCTTTGTTCATTTCAGGATTTTGAGTTAATAGGGGCAGTTATTGCTTTGACTTTACAAGCTAAAACAAATCTTGACCTTATCTCTGGGTATTGTTGAGGCCAAAATAACTGGGAAAATGTGTAAGAATTTTTAATGTGAGATTGTTTCTGTATCCCTGTTAAATTCATAATAACTAAAATGATACTGAAGTTTGGTCTGAGAATAATGTACTGATATACGTATTTACATTATTGACTGAGCCATTTAGGCAGTTGACCCCGTTAAAAAACATAGGCACTAACTCAGCCCCCCCCCCCCTAAAAAAAAAAAACTTCTAGGAAAAAGAGATCTATCAATACATGAACTGTATGTAATTACCTATGTCTCATATAGAGACAACAACTATGGCATTTTACTGTAACAGTGCAGTGTAAGTGCAGGGGTCTACAATCTCATTGAACCCTCCACTGCTGTGGATGATACATGCTGTGGTTGACATATCAGTGATGTTTATTAAGAGACAAGTCTATCAGGCTCTTAAACCTGTTCTTGCAGTCAGTAGGTCTTTTGTTTCTATTAGACAGTCTCATCAATCTTACGTGGCTGTGTTCTCCTAAGCACTTGACGGGATATCACCGTGTTCCTTCCCCTATCGCATTGGGGAGCAATGACATAGGAGGGCTGAAGGCACATGCACACACACAAAATCAAACGGATACATGCAGCACACACACACACGCACACAGACATACATATTTTACACTGGCTTTTTATGGTTTTATAAAGTGTAGTCTTGACATGGGCGTCTCTTGTGTAAAATAACATTTACATACTTAGCGTGTAGAAACTTGGATGGAAAGTCCCTCCGCTCCACCTAAAACTAAATTAAGGTAAATAACAGCAAAACTCTAATGTAACTCCTATGGGCTGAGATTGTAGATCGTAATCCTGTTTGCCTTAGACCAAATGATGCATATATTGTGGTTTCTGGCTGAACTGCTCAATTGGAATTGGTGCTGTCCAAAGAACACAGGTAGTTTTCAGTGGGATCGACTCGACCTGCTTATTCTTTAACTTCCCTGTGCTGTGATGACCTTTCATAGAAAATAGCATATATCTCACAGAAGGTATTTTTTGACACAATTATCTTTTACATTTTCTATATCTCAAATTCATAGTATGAATGTCATTCATAATTATAAAGGTTAACATTCTCAGCCGAGAATCCTAATTTCTTTCCTGATACTAATGAATTAAAGGAATCGTCATATTAATTGCTTTTCTCAGGGTGATAAACTGCAAAGAGATTCTTTGTCTGCAGGGAAATATCCCCAAAT